TCAAGTGACTTCAGATTTACATATTTTTCAAATATTTATAGGCTGTATGCAGTAAGCAATCAGCAGGCCTCGTGCCTTTCAGAGCTCCACACGCTGACTGTCAGGAAGAGGGAAGGACATCTTGGGTATCCAAACTACTTCAGCTGACTTGAATTCCACTCTCCCTCCCCAAATTGTTTAACTGACATAGAACTACACATGACCCTCAGAACAAGGATGAAGATCACATAATAGAAATAACAGTTATATTTTCTTTTTTTTTTTTTTAAATAGTGTGCTACATGAAACTCTGCCATCATTGCTTTACACATTTCAGAATTGTTTTCCTACAAAAAAAGGTGTTTTCATTGAAAACTAAAAAAAAAAACCTCAAGCTGCAATTAGACAGTCAGGAAAAAAGCATAATGATTCCAATATGCCACCACAATTTTCTCAAGAAGACACCAACAGCTAACTGAGGTTCTATGCTTTAAAAAATCCTCCATTCTACCAGAAGTTGGCTGTAAGTCCAATGCATATGCATGTGGGAGAAGATCCTGCTTAAAAATCAGGAATACTCAGCAGAAACTGCAAATAAATAATCTAATTTCTGATTTCTAAATTCCTCATTTCTAACAGCCTAATTTCTACTTCGGATCTAAGATACCATTCAGAACAACAAATCACAAATTTATGTTTTGGTTTTCTTGTCAGCAAGTACAATTCTGTGAACAGACACAAAAGGCCTGATCTTGTGAAGTATCCAACAACTTAAGTGGTCCTTAACAGTAGAAGCAGCTGTAACATATTGCTTCTGTGAAGTGCCAACCTCTTTCAGACCTCTTTCACCGCTCATGAAAACAAAATAGTGATACTCATTACTTCACTACTCACTATTTTTGTAGACCCATCCCATATGAAAAAAGTAAGCTGAGATAAAAAACAATTTAGATGTAGAATGATCTCTTGAGAAGCTCTGTTTAGTAATCTGCTTTCCTCTTCCCCTCAAAAGACTAAACCAAAAGTAACAATTAAATAAAACCCAGAAAGGTTTTGTAAACAGATTGCGATCAGAAAGAAAAATTCTTACCTTGAAGCATCAAAGCTGTCATAGGATCCAACTGTGTAGTGTCTAAACAGTTTCTTTGTTCTATCTGTTCGTGTTTCTGCACAAAGAAAAGAGAACTTTTAATAATACTCCTGTATTTCTTAATCAAGGTCTGTGCTAATTTGCAATTTCAAAGCAGATTTTCTGCTATACATCAATAAAAGAAAACTTACAGTACTTCACAGAATCACAGAGTGGTTGAGGTTGGAAGGGACCTCTGGAGGTCACCTTGTCCAACCCCCCTGTTCAAGCCCGGCCACCCACAGCCAGGTGCCCAGGACCTTGTTCAGACAGCTTTTCAATATCCCTAGTGAAGAAGATTCCACAACCTCCCTGGGCAACCTGTGCCAGTGCTCGGTCACCCTCACAGTAAAAAAGTGTTTCCTTACGTTCCCTTACAGTGAATTAACACGGTTTCAAGATGTTTAGAAAAAATTTTGACTTCGTAGTTGAGACATTCTTTTATCATACCATACACTTCAAGTGAGTAAGGAGAACTTCTTGTAGGTCATATATCATATCATTCACAAGTTTTAATGTTCCACCCACATTCTCAACAGCACAACCTTTCAAGTCCAATCTTTGGTTCTTTTATAGCTTGGACTAAGAGGCAAAATACAAGAAGAAAAAAAAGAAGAAAAACCAGCAACGTACTTTGGTAGGTCGGAAAAATAGCCAAAAGAATGCAAACCATTTTTGTTTAAACACACACACATGCACACAAAACTGGAGCTATTTCTGTAATTTTATTAGGCATATGGAGAATGAGATAGGGTAAAAGTAGCTGCCCACATTCATTGCTATCAATCAAATCTCACAGGAAATAGTGCTATGAAACTTGTACTACCATTATATAGCAAAAGCAAGCAATCCAAACAACTGGGGATATGGGGTGACACGAAAAAGAAAGAAACCCCATATCTGGGAAACATGAAGAACAAAGGAATAAGATACAGCAATACATCTACTAAAAAAGGCATTTAAAACCTCAAGTACATTACAATTTCATATTTATGCCTTTTCTTAAGAAAAAAAATAAAAATCCATCCTACTGAAGCAGCTCCCACATCTACTGGTTGTAGCGTTAAATCAACCTATAGGACTATGAACTTCATGTTCACAAGTATTTCTACAACTCACCAATATTAACACTGGTTTAGTATGGGTATAAGTACTTAGTTTAGAACCGTATCTATAGAACGTCAGACAACAGAGTTAAACATCTCTCCTCCTCTAGGACTGGAAAGATACTCTCTCATTTATTGCTTTTAATGGGTACCTACAGGAGCACCAGTAATTCAAGCACGTGGGACAGATGCAGAAGCTCCTCCAACACTTGGTTGCTTCAGTTTACACAGCAAACAGAGCATCACTTAAAAAGGCTTTCACTGAAAGGCTATCACTACATATATATATATATACACACACTTCTGGGGAAGGCCAGTAGAGGAGGTAGGTAATTCATTGTCACTTTCTTCTCCAGAATGATAGGAAAACGCACACAAACGTACTTCCAAAGAGGTATTCAAATAAAGTAAAACTTTAACAAAAAAGAGCGTAAGGAGCCTTCTCTGGTAGCTTTATGTATTACAATAACTGTTGTTAAAATGAATAATTTTCTGAGTCTTGCTCAGCATTTACCACAATAATATTTTCATTTATTCATTTTTTCTCACATTAATGTCTTTAGTGCAGCCTCTCTTTATATGGCTTCTGCATTCAAGGGAAGATATTTATGCATAAACTGTAGCTTTTGAGACAGGAAAAAGTCTTGCCTAAATACAGCTTGGTCTTCAAATGCAATCACATTAAGTTAGGCTAACAGACATCAAAAATCAAACTGAAAAGTTTCTGGTTTAGCTTGTGACCATGAAAATCTCATCTGCATGGCTGAGGAATTTTTCACTGAAGGACAGCCTGACTCCATCCAAACAGATTTTATTAGTTCTCCAAGCTAGACATAGCCCTCAAGGTACACCATCTCTATGTCACAGCTTCTAAGGATATTAAAAATTACTGTGAGAGGTAGTGCTGTCAGATGACCAAGCACTAGCCTGCAGAGAAAAAAAAAAAAAAAAAACACATCAGCGCAGGATGACAGGCTCTAAACATGGCCAAGGAGCACATTGCAGAAGAAAGTACTGGGAGGCAGACTTTGGGAAGAAGGGTTGACAAAATGCATCTTTCCTTGCTTTAACCAGTACAGCTGACACGTAACTGGATCGTGCCCCCAGCTGGAGACATAAATGCAAATACATACAGAATGCAGAGGAATTACGGCTGAAAATGTACATGCAGGTTGCAGCTGGCTAAAAGAGCAAGCAAGTTATTTCTTCATAGTGGTGCACCAATTTGCAAGATACAAGAAAAGCAGTACAAAGAAAAATCAGAAATATATACAATTATAGAATTTTTTGTGGAGATTAGCCAGTGTCCTTCCCATAGGATGGTCAAAGAGGGAGAAAATCCCTATTGTAATATGAATCCTACTTGATAGCTTTGGATAGGCTTATTTTATCCCTTTGTCATTCACCTACAACCTATATTTTCTGCCAAAGAGGCCTTACTTTTATCCCAGGCTCCAGCTTATCCAGGCAGTCCCTTAACACACACATACCCCCCCCCCCCCCCCCTTCTTTCTGGAACTCCCAAAAAGGACACAACTTGCCCCAGGACTCACCTAGCACCTACCCAGACACAACCAAAGCTCATCCAGCCAGCACGTTAGCTGCGGGGCTAGAGGACAACATGTTGCCTTTCTCCGAATAAGAGCTGCAAGTGTAGTGAGCAGCAATGGTACCCAAGGCTACACGACAGCTGCTCAAAGAGATTTGGCTTTGAAGTAGCTCACTGTATGACTCTACCTCTTCATGTGCTGTAAGGCGTTCAGTGAATTTTATGGGTCATGCCTTTGTTGCTAAGTTTACAATTTTAGCTTCAGAATCCAATGCCCTGCTGTGATGTGGAATAAAGTGACCTGCATGAATTGCAGTCTGTTCCCCATTGAGCAACGTTCTTTTTCACACTATCTGAAAAATCAGATTAATATCAAGAGATATAATAAGAAGAAACACAGAAAAGCATAAACCTGGATTCCACTTAGAAGTTCAGCACTGACCTGTCTTCAGAAGTCACTTATAAATAATTGAACGAAGTATGATGAAGAATATTTTGGAAATCTTCAAGCCACTGCTTTAGCCATAAGGAGCCAGATGTTTCTTCTGCAGAAACTATTTTCTATAGCATGATATTTTGGTGCTATTAACAAATACGAAGTGGGTGGGAGGAACGGAAAGGCGCAGTAAGACAGAGAGCTTTGTTCAGCTTCTTGGTACTGCAAAGCCAGCATTCTTCAGCTGCAGCTTGTAGCTGCTCTCTGTCTCTCCCACCCCTCTACTTTCCCCACTTCTTTGTGTGCAGTCGTATTCACAGGGATTATTTGGGAAGCCATTAGCCTTACACATCCCTGAACTCCAGGTGGAGTGGTATGTTTCCCAGGTTGCTGTGTAAGTTCTTTAACTATCCTCTTTCCCTAACCTCGGACTCAGATTCCAGTCCGTCCTATTACGCAGCATAAGCACAGACATCCAAAACAGGGTGAAGGATCAGGATCTGTCATCATATTGAACTGGATACTGAAAAAAAAAAAGGAAAATAAAAAAGGTTCTCTTCTCTAATTTGACTAAAGAATACAAAGAACCTATAGGCAATTGTTTAACAAATGTTTTTCTGAATTCAAGCCATATATAGCATAATAGCACTCTCATAGATATAACAGCACCAAGGGGTTAATCTAGGTTTAACTGGATTTTTACCCATTCTCATATCCCCAGGTTTTCTGAAGACCAGCACTTTTAATCAGAGTGCTTTGGAGCAAGTTAGGACCACCTAAGACTAATAACCTTATCATCATTTATGGGGTCCTTACCTACAGAATCCTTTGAGGATTTCATTTTATTCTTGGTTGCAGACAGATTAGAAAGACTAGCAAGAAGATATGGACAAGAAGGTCTAGAAAAACGCTGTTTAGCAGTGTATATATTACTGCATAATTACTGAGAACATCTCTAATCACAGATGAAAAATCTTTGCATCACATGGGATCAGTTCAGAAGTTATTCTAGGAGGTAGAACAAAACGCCAGTGTTTGCAAAAATGGTATAGCTTTCTTTGCATTGAAAAAAGAAAGGAACATTGGCATATCATTTGAAATGTCTAGATTTCTTGAGAAGCCCATATTTTACTAGAGTTACTCCATTGTGTTTTTTCCTAATATCTATAGTTGGTTAGAAGACTTTCTCTCTCCAGGCCTTCATCCATCTCTAGGTTACAGCAATAGGACGTACCTGGGCATGAAGCACCAAGACAAAGGTCACAGCTAAGAACTCTGTTCTCACAGTACTGCACTGCTCATCACAGAGTAAAACCCATTTATGTGAAAAGGAAGGCTCCTTCTACAGCTGCTGAAACTATTTCCATTAGAACACAACATCACCATAAAGCTCCCCACTTTCCCCTAAAAAAGAAAACAGGGGGAAAAAAAACCCAAACCAACCAACCCAAATCCAAAAACCTATGAGGTTTTATTCACATCAATTAATATGCTATCTAGGAGCAATGTAAGTCCTGCTATGATGAGAGCCATAGGAGAGTCTGCAAAGAACAAAAAAATATGACATGTTTTTTTCTGGTCTGTTCTCCACTGAAGCCAATGGAGTTGCAGTAGAAATAAACTGTTTGCACGTGCAATAGTGGTAATACAAATAATAAAGCCCTAGCTGTTTCTTTATTAGAATAATTTATTGTTGCAGACATTTCAGTAAGCAACAGACACAAACCCTGCCATACCAGAATGTAATTTATAGGGTTCGAAGAAAGGTGAACATTGAGACGATGCAGGTGAAAAACATTTTCTCCTTTTCTTCTTCCAACTTAGGAGGAGTGCTAGCCTTCCTCAACGGAGAAATATGTATATGGCTTCCCTGTAGCTTCACTGTGTGAGTCTCATAACTGACCACAGGACTCCAACAGTGCCTGCAGACATTATCAAAAGCTGAA